AAGTGAGTATAGTCTTTTCTTGTGTTTGAGGTCAAATTTTTGGGATTTATTCTATCCAATAAGTTCTGATAGTGGTTTAGGCGGTGGGTCCTTAGTGGGTTATGACCTTTCCGTTCCTCTTGAGTTCGACCGGGATCAATTAGAGAATCAGAGTTGGTAGAGTGTTCTTATAGTCTGTTAATCAACGAGAGATTAACACGATATTTTGCAAGGGTGGTCTGGCAGGGAGACAGACCACTAGAGTTTTCTAGTTCGGAAAGAGTCAGATCGAGTACCGCGACGGCAGATGGGTCTGTCCTTCTTCGGGGATGGGAGTTCTTGTTGGGATCAGGTGTCTTCGGAAGAGATTGTTGTATGATAAGAGGTCCTTTCAGTGGTGCTTTTCCAGTTATCGGTTCGATCTATGTGTTGATAAGGAGCGATTTCGAGGGCGAAATCTAATTCAAGTTGGGGAGAATTGTAACGTCCTGTTTCTGATCATCCTTGATTAGGGTTCGTGGGAATCGGGGTTATGTGAAGGAAGCGATGACAGTTTGATGATTTGGCAAGATAAGTCTTTTAGTTGAAATTGAAGGCAGCGGAGTACGATGGGTGTACGTGTGTGTACGCTTAGCGTACGCATGTGCGTGAAATTTAAGCTGAGCCACCTAGTACGTTGGGCGTACTAGGTAAAGAAGAAAACCCTAATTAAGAGGAGTGTCCCTATATAATGAATGAGATGGCCTCATTCCTGGCCACCATCCTCATTCAATAAACCCCCCTAAACCTTAATCCTCATTCTTGAGCTTGTGTGTGACCATTGTGAGCTTATAAGTGTTATTGTGGAATTTTTGGAGTGAAGAAGGAGCATGGAAGAGAACAAAGATGGAGTCCAGGCTTTGGATCTAAGATTTTTTGTGGTTAGAGCATCATTTGGAGGTATAAAGCTCAAAGCTTTCCTATCCTTATTGTTTTGTGCATGATATGGTCCATTTTAGGTCTTTTGGTCCCAAAGCTTGAGGTTGTATGAGTAGTTGCACTCCAGAGCTCAATATTTGTCCTTTTAAGTGTTTCTAGTGGTGAAGATCCATAAAAATGAGGTATTGAACGTGAGAATCAACCCATGCATGAGATTTGAGCATTTTGAGTTAAGAGAATAAGATTTTTATGTGTGTGTGACCTTATCAGCCATCCAAAGGCTTAAAGTCACTAACTTTATGGAGTAAGAGATGATAGGGGTCCAGATCAGAGAAATTAGTTAAGCTCTTGACGGGTTATGACCAAGAGAATGGACTAAAGCAAAATTGGACGTACGCCCATCGTAAGTTCTAGTACGCCCCGTGTACTGGGTTGGAGTCACCAATCAGTTTCATGCGTGCGTAAGTACATTGAGCGTACCAAGAGAGGTACGCCCCGTATAACTTCACTGTGGGCTTTTGGGCTGGATCTTATCATGGGCCATGAGGGTTGGGCCTGAATCTTTGGGCTTGTGAATTAGAGACTATGAGTAGAGAAATATTATAATTTTTCCTTAGGCCCTTGTGTTGGGCTTGCCATTTAGTTTTGAGGGTGGCCTCAGGTGAGCCCATTTATTATTGGGCCTGGTGGGCCTAATGGGTTTTAGGCTTTTAATGGGTTGGTCATTGGTTTTCCTTTAGTGATAAGGAGTGAGAGTTTGGAGTTAGTTTCTAGATGGGTTAATTGTGGTTTTGGCTCAGAGTTACAGGTCGGTGCGTAGCAACAGCATTATAGGGGTTGTTCATCATCCGAGGTGAGTCTTCTCACTATACTTATGTGTGATCGAAGGGTCTTATGTCTTTACATCGATTGTTACCTTATCCTGATTTATGTTGTATGATATGCATTATGTCTTTGTAATTTATGCTATGCGGAGCTTTACAGACTAGACCAGAGGGTCTAACGAACCATGGGACTGGAGGGTCCCACTGAGATATATTGACCGGAGGGTCTTACAGTGATATAGCCTCGAGTGGCTGATGAGTTGTATGTTTGATATTTTTGGGAACTCACTAAGCTCCGTGCTTACCGTGTTATGTGTTATGTGTTTCAGGTTTTCTCAGAATTGCGGGAAGGCACCGACTTGATTATACACACCAGAGAAGTAGTTATGATTTGAGGATCCTGGGTTATTATTATTAAAAAAATATAGAGTTGTGTTTTGTAAATAAATAAATGGAGTTTTCGTGAAACATGATATGAGAATTATGTGGTTTTTAAAAGAAAATTTTGTTTGAAAATTTATGGTTCATATAGGTTCTTTCCTATTCTCTCAGATTAATTTTACAATCTCTTCCATATGTTCGGTAAATATTTCCCGAATCATAGCTTGAACTCTTGCCATCATGACAGGTTCAGCTACTGGCACGACTTTAGGTGCTTGCTCGATCACACGATGCACAGTATGTTGATTTCAATTATCATTCCCCAATCCGCTAAGTGTTCTCACCATTATGTTCTATACACCCAAGAAGAGGTTCAATGTACCGAGATGAGAATTTATTATGATAGAGAAGGTTTTATTTATGTTTTAGATGCATAAGTCCTCCTTATCACTCCAACACGTTACATGCCGGTTCTAATACAATAATGATACACTTAGAATCCTAAACATAAAGGTTTCCTGGTTTTAGGTCAGCAACAGACCTTAACTTTTCTATTAATAGCAATCTAGATAACCACCTAAGGCATGCTCTTATACTTACCGGTTAACATATAAGGCATCTCTTCTTAAAGTATGCTATGGGATATTATAGCAATTAAGGTATTCAACCTAAGTTATAAAATTTCTTATTTAGCACCTAATATTATTTACGACATTTAACCTAAAATATTCTAGTGCATGTGTCTATTTAGTTATATAACCCAAGATGTTCTAGACACTTATCTAACCATAATCTCTTAGTATTCTAAGTTTAAGTCTAGATATAAAACCTTATTCGTAGTTAGCTAATGCTACGATACCAACTGTGACGCCCTCTAATTTTCAAAACCAATTAAAACTTTTCTTTACACTTTAAAAAACATTTATTTATATTTGCGGAAAATCCCAGTACAAAAGATCATTTTTATTACAATGTTTGTTTCCAAAATGTTAAAACCCTAAGGATATCATAATCAATATAGATACGTATGTTATAGCGTAAAGACCAGATGATCGTGAACTATATTGTATGTTATCTCCTAATTACTCACCATTTTGCCTCACTCGTTCACAAATTGAGTCGAAGTTAGAGTTTGTAAAGACAAAGAGCAGATATGGAAAGACGACAACGAAGACGGTTTGTTTTTAGCGTCCTCTTTATCTTCGTCTTCATTAGGCTAAGGGTTTTGACAATGTCTGTAGCTTCCAAAGATTGAGGGTTTCGACGAAGGCGACTGTTTCCGTGTGTGTGTGTGTGTGTGAGAGAGAGAGAGAGAGAGAGGGAGATGGAGAGAGATGCCTGTCTGAAGCGTTACGTCGGTGGTGCTAGTTTCCGGTGTTGATGGTTTCCAACTGTGGTGGTTTTCAACATGGTTGTTTCGAGAATAGGCGGTAGTTTCCGATGTAAAGAGTGTAGAGAGTAAGAGTATGAAGAGAAATGTAGGTTGGGTATGGTTTAGATTTTGGATCAAAGTCTCAATTTTTAATATAACGCGGAGACCAAATTTATAATTTTGTGTATGATTATTTATTGTTTGGATATTAAGTTTAGGATTGACAATTTAAATTAAACTATATGGTTAATATATTTGAATTTTTGGATTGTTTTTTTTTTTTATCAAAACCAAAATCCTGATACTGATTTTGTATTGATTTTGGTTATTCTTAGAATGAGAACCGAACACTAGTTAGTCTATCAAAATCAAATAACAAATTCTTACTTATTTATATTTAGCTTTATTTAGTATATATAAAAGTAATTTGAATTAAATAGATATTTTTCTACTTATATTAGAAGATGTGACCTAAATTAAAAGCTTTAATATTGTTAACAAAAACTTTAAAACGATAAGGTCGAAATCATAAAAGTTATATATACTTTTGGAATGTTACGATTTTAGAACTAAATATTCTGTAATGAAGCGGATTGAATGAACCAATTCAAATGAACTTTAATTTGGTTGATTTAGAATAACTTTTAATTTAGTTTGAATTATCGATATTCTTATCTAAACACCGAAATCAATTGTACTTACTTGATCCGATAAGATCAAATCAAATCGATCTATTCATACGAGCATTTCTACACTTAGGCAGTTACGCGTCCCACAATGTCCCATCTTTCGGTTATCGCACTTATGGGGGGACATTATAGAAAAATGCTAACATGGGTCTATAAATATTAGAAAATAAAATAAATAAAAGTGTTGAACATAGTATAATCTAAATTGTATCTTTGTTAAATACCTATCCCCTCAGGCCCTCAACCGTATGAAACCTACCACACACATTTGAATGGGAGACCAAACAAAGATACCCCATCTCATCTTTAACGTTTCTTTCACTTTTCTCTTTATAGAAAAATTTAGTTTTTGTTTTAGATATTGGTTAAAGAATAATTAAAAAGTTTATCACTTATAATAATAGCATGGACAAAGGAAAAAGAATAGGAGATTGACTTAAAGTTGTTGAGTTTTCACTTTTCTACCCACCTTCTCATGTGTCACAATCTACTTATTGCATGCGATATGCATTGTTCAATATAATATCCCCTTCTAACAAATATATTTTTTTACGGAATTTGGGTTTGGGAAGGAAGATGAACACACTTCTGGATTTGTTTTTTGGATTTAAAAAATGATTTAAATCTAACGACCTGTGAATTGAAAATAAAAAAAAAGTTATAACTCAAAACATGACTTCAGTTAAAGATCTTTTGATTTCTGGGAAGAAGATGAAAACACACACAACACACATCGATGAACTCGTTTTCTAATCTACTTGTTTAGATTTGGATTGAAGTAGTTGAATGATTTATCTTTTTATGATTTTTTGGTCCAAGGGTTTGACGGGATTAGGGATGGCAAAAAAAAACCCGAACCCGACGGGGAAACCCGATTCCCGAATTTTTCGGGTCGGGTCGGGTCAGTACTATCGGGTATCGGGCCGGGTTTTGGGTTCTTATCGGGTATTTTTTCTGGGTTCGGGTCAGGGAGTGGGTTGTGTCTGCCCCGCCCCGCCCCGAATATATATATATATATATATATATATATATATATATATTAATATTACACTTCAGCCCTAACACTCGTTCACAAATCACACTTCTCACTCTTCTCTTCGTCTTCTACTAATCTAGGTTACAGCCGAGACCGAGAGCCGACATTCCAAATCGACTGAAATCAAATCGCAAGCTACGAGCGAGCATGCGATAGACGATAGTGCGACCAATGGGCATTCCGCATTCGGGCAACGACAGACGATACGCAACCCACAAATCGAACGACTTTGTCTTCGATCGACGCCACACAGTGACGGTGACGCTCACGCACAAGAAACAATCATCGGTAATCGATCATTCGGAATCGGTCGCATCTTTCTTTAAGTCTCTTCATTTTTCTTGAAATTAAGCATATGTAATCGATCACTACTTGTATCTTTCTTCAATCGCTCACTGTGACCCTGTATCTTTTTCATTCCATGTGGTAATTTGAATTCTTGAAATGAATTCTTGAAATTGAGCATATGTAATCGATCCCTACTGTAATCTGTATCTTTCTTTCCCTGTATCAATTTCTTATTTAGAAATCTGAATAACTTGTAAATGTGAATCTAGGTTGGCCATTGAAAAGATTGGTGTTGAGATGAGATGAGATGGGAACAGTTTATGCGTCAACTTTTAGTTTTGCAGTTTCACTTTGACCCTTTCATCTTGAAGAATCTTTTTTGTGTACCTTAGAAACTCATTCTTGAATGTCGACACCTAATCAAAATATTTAAAAAAAAAAAAAAAAAAAAAAAAAAAAAACTAATCCTGTTAAATTTTATCAAATCTTGGATGATATTGCTAAAGTTATACCTAAAGGGTATCGTTATCTTCTAAGGAGTTTAAATAAAGTTCCTTATGCCAAGGGAATGTTGTGGATTCCTAATAAAACACACTTTTGGTGTAGTATAATTTTACGCATCCTACAATCCTACTGTAATCTGTATCTTTCTTTCCCTGTATCAATTTCTTAAAATCAATTTCTTATTTAGAAATCTGAATAACGTTTTGATTTTTGAACCTTTAGAATCTGTATCTTTTTCATTTGTGTGGTTAAGAATAATGTCCTAATAGGTAAACTAATATTTTTCAGGAAATATGAATTCAACTAGTCAAAATCATGCTCCAACTGCAAGTAGTCAAGATGTGGGAGGTTCGGGTTCTAATCAACAAAATACCGATTATGTGGATCAACAAGATGGAACAAATATTAATGATACAGTTTTTGATGAAGATGGAGATGAAGTTGTTGGTTTGAAAAGGGCAACACGTTCACCGGCATGGCAACATTTTATAAAATTTAAATTGAATGATGAAGTTAAAGCAAGATGTAAACATTGCTCTAAAGTGTTGGGTGCAGATAGCAAGAATGGCACAAAACATTTACTTGCACATTATCAGCGTTGTTTACACAAACCTTTTCCAGATATTCGTCAATCTATCTTGGTGCAAGAAAAAAAAGAAATTAGATGGTACTACAACGCATGTTTCAAATTATACATTTAATGCTGATACTTCTAGGAAGGATTTGGCTGAAATGATTATTGTGCATGAGTATCCGCTTTCAATTGTAGAGCATCATGGATTTAGGAAGTTTGTGGGAGGTCTTCAACCTTTGTTTAAGGTTCCTTGTCGAAACACCATCAAGGACGACATCAAAAGAATTTATGATTACGAAAGGGATAAAACTATGAGTTTGTTAGCAAAGACCAAAAGCAGAATTGCAGTTACTACTGATATGTGGACATCTAATCATCAAAAAATAAGGATTTGTGGCAATGACAGCACATTTTGTAGATCAAAACTAGAACTTGCAAAGCAGAATTAGGGATGGCAAAAAAACCCGAACCCGACGGGGAAACCCGATTCCCGAATTTTTCGGGTCGGGTCGGGTCAGTACTATCGGGTATCGGGCCGGGTTTCGGGTTCTTATCGGGTATTTTTTCTGGGTTCGGGTCAGGGAGTGGGTTGTGTCTGCCCCGACCCGCCCCGCCCCGAATATATATATATATATATATATATATATATATATATATATATATATATATATATATATATTAATATTACACTTCAGCCCTAACAATCGTTCACAAATCACACTTCTCACTCTTCTCTTCGTCTTCTACTAATCTAGGTTACAGCCGAGACCGAGAGCCGACATTCCAAATCGACTGAAATCAAATCGCAAGCTACGAGCGAGCATGCGATAGACGATAGTGCGACCAACGGGCATTCCGCATTCGGGCAACGACAGACGATACGCAACCCACAAATCGAACGACTTTGTCTTCGATCGACGCCACACAGTGACGGTGACGCTCATGCACAAGAAACAATCACCGGTAATCGATCATTCGGAATCGGTTGCATCTTTCTTTAATTCTCTTCATTTTTCTTGAAATTGAGCATATGTAATCGATCACTACTTGTATCTTTCTTCAATCGCTCACTGTGACCCTGTATCTTTTTCATTCCATGTGGTAATTTGAATTCTTGAAATTGAGCATATGTAATCGATCCCTACTGTAATCTGTATCTTTCTTTCCCTGTATCAATTTCTTATTTAGAAATCTGAATAACTTGTAAATGTGAATCTAGGTTGGCCATTGAAAAGATTGGTGTTGAGATGAGATGAGATGGGAACAGTTTATGCGTAAACTTTTAGTTTTGCCGTTTCACTTTGACCCTTTCATCTTGAAGAATCTTTTTTGTGTACCTTAGAAACCCATTCTTGAATGTCGACACCTTATCAAAATAATTAAAAAAAAAAAAAACTAATCCTGTTAAATTTTATCAAATCTTGGATGATATTGCTAAAGTTATACCTAAAGGGTATCGTTATCTTCTAAGGAGTTTAAATAAAGTTCCTTATGCCAAGGGAATGTTGTGGATTCCTAATAAAACACACTTTTGGTGTAGTATAATTTTACGCATCCTACAATCCTACTGTAATCTGTATCTTTCTTTCCCTGTATCAATTTCTTAAAATCAATTTCTTATTTAGAAATCTGAATAACGTTTTGATTTTTGAACCTTTAGAATCTGTATCTTTTTCATTTGTGTGGTTAAGAATAATGTCCTGATAGGTAAACTAATATTTTTCAGGAAATATGAATTCAACTAGTCAAAATCATGCTCCAACTGCAAGTAGTCAAGATGTGGGAGGTTCGGGTTCTAATCAACAAAATACTGATTCTGTGGATCAACAAGATGGAACAAATATTAATGATACAGTTTTTGATGAAGATGAAGATGAAGTTGTTGGTTCGAAAAGGGCAACACGTTCACCGGCATGGCAACATTTTATAAAATTTAAATTGAATGATGAAGTTAAAGCAAGATGTAAACATTGCTCTAAAGTGTTGGGTGCAGATAGCAAGAATGGCACAAAACATTTACTTGCACATTATCAGCGTTGTTTACACAAACCTTTTCCAGATATTCGTCAATCTATCTTGGTGCAAGAAAAAAAGAAATTAGATGGTACTACAACGCATGTTTCAAATTATACATTTAATGCTGATACTTCTAGGAAGGATTTGGCTGAAATGATTATTGTGCATGAGTATCCGCTTTCAATTGTAGAGCATCATGGATTTAGGAAGTTTGTGGGAGGTCTTCAACCTTTGTTTAAGGTTCCTTGTCGAAACACCATCAAGGACGACATCAAAAGAATTTATGATTACGAAAGGGATAAAACTATGAGTTTGTTAGCAAAGACCAAAAGCAGAATTGCAGTTACTACTGATATGTGGACATCTAATCATAAAAAAAAAGGATTTATGGCAATGACAGCACATTTTGTAGATCAAAACTGGAACTTGCAAAGCAGAATTATGAGGTATATTATACTTATTTAACTACAATTTATACGTACTTATTATTTATATGTTAATATTAATATATATATTTATATATTCTTAAACAGGTTTATTTACGTGCCTTGTCCGCATACATCTGATGTTCTTGCCAATATACTTTATGCTACTTTGTGTGATTGGAATCTTGATAGGAAAGTTTCAACTCTTACTGTGGATAATTGCACCACAAATGATGCAATTATCAGGATATTATTAGAGAAACTTCCTCTAAAATCACTAATGATGAATGGTGATTTGTTTCATATGCGTTGCTGCGCACATATTCTCAATCTTATTGTCCAAGATGGCTTATCTCTCATTAAATTTGAGATTGAGAGAATCAGAGAGAGTGTTGCATTTTGGTCTGCATCACCAAAGAGGGAGCAAATTTTTGTGACAGCAGCAGAACAGTTGGGAATACCATACTCAAAGAAGTTGATACTTGACTGCAAAAACACAGTGGAACTCTACATTCTTGATGTTGAGTGTTGCTATAAGCTACAAAGAGGTTTTCGATCGGGTAAAGACAAGAGACTATAAGTATACATGTTTTCCTACAGAAAAGGATTGGGAGTTGGCTAGTGAGATTTGTGAAAGATTACAACTTTTTTATGAGGTGACTGTTATGTTCTCTGGTTCAAAGTATCCTACAGCTAATGTTTTCTTTCCTTTGATATGTGAGATTGGGTATTCTTTGCGTGAGTGGACGAAATCTCCTATTGAGGAGATTAAGATGATGGCTGACCAAATGGTTTCTAAGTTCAATAAGTATTGGTCTGTAATTCATGGGGTAATGGGAATGGCAGCGGTTTTAGATCCACGATACAAATTAAAGTTTGTGGAGTTACTTTTTCCTGTGCTTTATGGAGAAGAAAAGGCAAAGATTGAATTTCAAAATTTGGTGGCGTTTGTCCAAACTTTGTTTCAAGAGTACGTGTCAAGTAATGCATCTAAAAAAAGGAAGAGTGAAGGTATTATATTCTTCTTATTGTTTGTATAATAAATAGATCATATCTTAAATTATTAACATTTTTATAATAAACATTAGGTTTTTATGGTGGTTCAGTTCCTGGTTCATCTTCATTTGGTTCTAGTATCTCTTCAGGTCATCGTGTTGGATTCAAAAAGCTCTTATCGGATATTGCTTCTATTACTAGAGATGATGATGAATCAGGAGGTATGAGTGAGTTGGATAACTACTTGAAGGAGAAATTGTTGCCTAAAGATATGGAACTTGATTTGTTGGCATGGTGGAAAACAAATGGGATTAAGTACCCGACACTACAAAGGATAGCTAAAGATATATTAGCTATTCCTGTTTCCACTGTTGCCTCGGAATCAGCTTTCAGCACTAGTGGAAGATTAGTAAGTCCTCATCGTAGTCGACTTCATCCAAAGACATTGGAGGCTTTAATGTGTGCTCAAAGTTGGTTGTTGAATGAAATTCGAGGTAGTATACTATTTTATATTAATTATATGAAATTGTGATTTTTATTTGCATATTAATAATATTAATTTTATGCAGCAACTTGTTCTGAAGAGACCGAGGCATATTGTCGTTCTATTGAATTTGATTATGATGTGGAAGAGGTAAAACAACACTTCTAAAAATATTAATTTTATATCATTTCCATGATTTTGTTTGATTTTGAGTTTGTTTAATATTTTGTAGGAAAACACTAAAGAAAGCGGGACAACAAGTTTGGATGATTTTGTTTGATTTTGAGTTTGTAACTTTGTTTTAATGTTAATTGGTAATATATTATTGTGATGAATTAGTTTTTCATGTTGTATACTTGGATGTTTTGGTTGGTTGGTTGATGTTACAATATTAGACTATTAGTAATTTCTATTTGGTTAAATGATTTAAGAACTTATTTTGTATTTTAAGCCTATGCAACATCTTAATTTATCATTATGTATTTATAGTTTTTCCTTTTTTTTCCTGCCATATTTCGGGTTATAGGATCGGGTTATCGGGTTTCGGGTTTAGGGTCGGGTTCGGGGAAAGTTTCAGCCCCGACGGGGCGCCCCGATAAGAAACCCGTCGGGTATCGGGTCGGGTTCGGGTACATGTGTGAAAATCGGGTTCGGGTTTGGGACACTATGCCCCGCCCTGAACCCGCCCCATTGTCATTCCTAGACGGGATAAACATGATTGTGTATGTCTTTTCTGATTTAACAAACTCACACATACACACTGATTGAAGGATCGGATAATTTTTATTTAGATCTAACAAACACACACTCACACGCAACTCTTAAAACATTTTTGATGAACTCGTTTTCAGAACTAGTTGTTCTTGAAGATGTTCAATCTAGGTTGAAAGGGTTGAAGAATTTATGAAGGAAAAACAAATGAATCTAGGTGTTTTGTGTTTATATATGTGTTTTTTTTTGTGTTTTTGGTCGGAGATTTGCCGGAGAAGATAATTAGAGTCTCATTTGAGCTCACAAGAACGTCGGAAACTGGCTAAACATCCAACAGTAGATCATATGGATGTTTTTTGAACAGTTTAACTAGTTCAATGGGAAAACAAGGACAAAAAACTAACTCGGTTACTAAATGTATACAACTATAAAATATTATCCTTCTAAGTAATTATCCGTTTCTTTACATTTTTTTTTTTTAAATTAATTTTTTTTATGTGTGTGTGTTTTTCATGAAGAACATTTTGCATAAACCCAAAAATGCTTGGTTAATATTATATCATGAATTATTGAACATTTGAACCTAACTACTATTTGTACTTTAAGAGTCAATATTAACAAGTTATGTCTATTTTCTTTGTTTATTATTATTATTTTTAAATTCCATTACTCATATAATAATCTATAAACATTTTGTTTGTTTCACTCGTAACAAATAATTTAATAACTCAATAATTGAGGTTCAAAGATTAATTGCAACTTGCTTTATCATGATTAAAATCGTAACAATAATTTATAATAGGATTACATATTACCAACCCCTTAAGCTCCAAAATTGTCATTTTCAAATAGTTATTCTATTGATTTATTGTTTAGAGAAATGTCGTATTTTAAATTTTAAATAAACATAATACTTAATCTATTTTTTATTTTTAATTTAAGTACTAAATTCGTTTTAAAGAGAGTCTTGTTACCTTTTATTTAATGACAAAATTTAGGATTTTGGTTGTAAAAAAATCATAATTGAAAATTTGAACATTTGAACCTAACAGTTGTACTTTAAGAGTCAATATTATTAACAAGTTATGTGTATTTTCTTTGTTTATTATTATTATTTTTAAATTCCATTGCTCATATATTAATATATAAAAATTTGTTTGTTTCACTCGTAACAAACAATTTAATGACTCAAAAAATTGCGGTTAAAAGATTAATGGATTTTCAAGATGCAACTTGCTTTATAATAATTAAAATCGTAACAATAATTTATAAAGGGATTACCTAGTACCAACCCCTTAAACTCCAAAATTGTCATTTTCAGATAGTTATTCTATTATTTTAGAGAAATTAAGATAGTTATTCTATTATTTTAGAGAAATTAAGCTTACGTTTACTTACTGAAAAACAGATTTCATTTGTTGTTTTTTGTTTTTACTTTTCAGTTTTTGTTTTCCGTTTTTAGTTTTCATTGGAAAATTTAGAAGATGCGTTTAGTTACTGAAAACAGTTTTCATTTGTTGTTTTTTGTTTTTTCACTTTTCAGTTTTCGTTTTCCGTTTTCAGTTTTCATTGGAAAATTTAGAAAATGCGTTGAGTTAAAACTTAATCATTTTTTATTTTCAAATTTATAAAATAAGAGAACGTGTTTAGATATGTATTTTTCTATCGGTATTCATTTTTAGAAAACGGTAGTGATGGTAGGGTGAGGTAGAGGCACCGTCGGTGTCGATGATGGTGACGGTGGTTGTGGCTACGACAACGGGGTAGCGTCGGTGCTGGTGATGACAGGCGGTGGTGGCGACGGCGGCAATTGTGGTAGTGGCGGTGATGGCAGCAACAGTGGTGGTGATGGTGGTGATAATGGTGATGGTAGGTCAGTGATTGTGGTAGTAGTGTTGAGTGTGTGATTTTCAAAAACATGGAAAACAATGATTATAGGTTTCTGAAATTTCTAACTTCTTTGTAATTTTAAAATACGAAAAATTTTCATTTTCTGTGAAAATTTTAGAAAAATAAACAAACTAAACGTGTTTTCAAAATTCTTATTTTTTCTTGAAATTTTTTTTCCAGAAAACAACTTATTTTTACACAACTAAACGTGTTTTAAATATCCTCTTTTTTATTTATTCTCCTACCATATCAAATAGTAAAATTTATCACATTTAATGACACATTTAAAAAAATGATTCATTTTAATCCCGTTGTTATTATTTAATATAGGTATAAGGATAATAAGAATAAAATGTCATAATATTTTTAATTTCGTATTATTTTGTTGTTTAAAGTTAATCCATTTTTTATTTTTAATTTAAGTACTTAGTTTGTTTTAAAGAAAGTATTGTTATTACCTTTTATTTACGGACAAAAATTTAGTATTTTGGTGGTAAAAAAAAAAAAATTATGAAAGAAACATTTATTAAGAACATACATATTAGCTGTGTGAGATTTAAAAACTTTCATTTCAGGACAAGTATATTATAACAAGAGATTTTGCATGATTCCATTCATTTTATATGGAATTGTAACGAAATTTATTAAGGAAAAGCATCAAAAAAAAAAAACAAAAAAAGCTCATAAAGATAAATACCTAAAACAGTGGATTGACAACCTAATTAATCTCCTAACGACCGGAATGATTGAAACGATGGATGCAGAAACTTTAATTTGAGTCGAAAAAGAAACTATTAAAAGTATGTGGAGGTTTACTCGATGATTCCATGTGCGTTTCTTTGCGTAGGTGAGCGATATCAGCAATCTCCACAAAATATAAGCAATTAAGCAGATATTAAAATAATGAAGGTTGATTAACAACTTATTACTCCATTAATTATGTTGCTTGAAGCCATGAATTAATGTTACAGCAAAAGTTTGATAAGGTTTCCGGCAGTTTTACCGGGAAATCGTAATCTGTGGATATCGATCGGCACCAAACTGAGCTTGCCTCATCGCCAATGATTTGTAGATCTCGATAATCATCTTCTCGTCATACTCCTTCACCGGTTTCATTCCAAACCTCGCTACACCGTCTCCATAACCACCGCCTCCTGTAACCACCGACGAAGTCGCCATTCTCATCATCATCCTCACATAACCGTCACGGATCCCGATCAGTAACTTCTTCGGAGAGCACCGAAACTTGAACTTCAGTTTCAGCTTCCGTGTTATTCTTATCCTCCAGAAACGGCTCCGCCGTTTAGGTCCAGATTCGTCGCGACTGTTCCCGCCAAGGCGCTGGTAGCGTCTCCTCCGCCAGTATCCTTTAACGCCTTTGTACACTCGATTCGTGATACCTTCCATCTTCGAGATTTATCGACTTAACTGCTTGCGAACAAAAAAAAAAAAAAAAAAAATCCAAATCAACCGATTGGTACGTGAGTACGCCTAGGAGTCGTAAGGTGAAGAAATGTTGATTAAGAGAAAGTAAAGAGGAGTCGCCGGAGAAGAAGGGTGGGTTGGTGGAGGGTGGGGGTTATAAATAGAGTTATGAGAGCTGTGCTGTCGTTCGGTGTGTGTGTGAAGTAGTGGAGATGTGGTGGCTTTTATAATTTTATTTCTTGCATTTCACACTTAATTTGGGCCCAGCTATCCCGTCCGTCGGATTCTGGTGTTTGACCTTCAGAAAAGGATGACTCGATAACGGGTGATCAAATTCTCAATATTCATCCACTTCTTTTTCCTAATAGAATTAATAATTGTTCTTATAATATCTGGTTAAAATATTTGTATTTAAATTCAGTTTGAATATAAATCATGGTAACCAATGTTGTCTAAAATTCTTACATTGTTAATCAAGTTCGATGACTAACAGAAGAAATGTTTGAATATTGCAAAATGCTTATTTATAGAAATATGAACGATATTTATTTCTATTTTTAGGTTTAGTTAAAAATTAACATGTAAAGATGTCAATAAGCTTCCTATATATTACCTCAATTAAAAAAATATAGTGCAAGTGAAGTTTACGTATTTTGATTTACGAATTAGAAAACCAGAAAAAATTACTTATCATTATTTCTAATTAGCGGTTTAATTTAATACGATTGTTAGGTCACTTACTTTGTTTAATGAAAAAACAAATATATGTTCATTGAAAATAATATGTCGTTATGGGTCTAAGTGATTACTGCCATCCACAATCTGAAGAACAAACAAACTGATTATTTATCAAGGAAGACTATACCGGAGGTTTGGAATAATATAGCAGGGGCAAAACGTGATTTGGAGATCTGTGGCTTACATTTTAATGATATTATTCAGAAGAGCGTGAATTCAGGTACCAGCACACTATTTTGGTTGGACAGCTGGGTTGATGGAGGTAAGCTAAACAACAGATTCCTTGGTTTATACTCGATAGAGATGAAGAAAAAATGCACGATGGCGGACATAATTAACGTACATGGGTTCAATTGGGACTGGGCTTGTGAAGTCTGGGTGACGGGACTCTCACGTGAGCTTGCCCAAATCAATGAGCTTGTGGGTCTTTTCACACCTGGCGTTGCAAGTGATGGGCAGCGATCTGGTCTCGATTCCAACGGGGTCTTCTCTATTGATGTGGTATGTAACACCCAAAGTCAGGAAGGCCAAGAAAGGAAAGGAAACCCTAAGTTTAGGGTACGACTCGTCGAGTCCAAGGAGGAACTCGGCGAGTCCGAGCGGGATCCGGTTTCAGGAGTTAGTGACCGACTCGGCGAGTCGGCTAAGAGGACTCAGCGAGTCTGGTCTGAACGAGGAAAACCCTAATCCCGGGAGTTGTATCCTATTTAAAGGGTGTTATGTCCCTCCGTCAGCCTCCATATCATCCTAGAGAACCTATAAACCCTAGATTTCGTGTGAGCTTCCATCATTTGAGAGAAATAGCTTTGGAGGAAGGAAACTTTGGAAAGGAACTTGAAGATCAAGAAGGTTGCTTCAAAGGGGAGGTGTAGATCCGGGATCTACTTCAGTTTGTGTTCCTCTTGGAGGTAATAAGCTGCTATCTTCCCTCCGTTGCATCTAGATCTACTTTTGTTATGAAATTTAGGGGTTTTATGGTTGTTTGAGACCCAATTCGAGTTTGGGGCCTAGATATGTCGTTGCCACTTCAGATCTAGTGTTGGGATGGTCCAATATGTCATAAAGCATCAAAAGATGAGTAGTTGGTGAAGCCCTTTTGTCCCTAAACCTAGCCCTAGAATGTTTTGAGCCTAGATCTCTTTAGTTATACGTAAAGTTTACAACTTTACGTGAGGATTGAGCTCTGGGAGTATGGATCTATGAGTTGGAGCCCTTGCATGGCTCGAAAAGCCACTATATTGATTAAGAACTGGAGCGACTCGGCGAGTCACATGGGGGGACTCGGCGAGTTGGATGAAGTTGGGCAGGAACTCGACGAGTTGGAAGATGAACTCGGCGAGTCTGTTGAAGATTGCCTTGGACTCGACGAGTCAAGTCGCGAAACCCCAAACCCTTTCGAGTTAAGACTCGGATCAGTGAGTTGAGTAGGGACTCAGTGAGTTGGACAGGTCAGGACTCGGAAAATCGGTGAACTCGGCGAGTCAGCAGGCAGACTCGGCGAGTAAGGTTGACCTTGACCAGGATTTGACTGTGACCAGAGTTGACTTGGTTGACTTTCGGGGGATAGTTAGACTAAGTGTTGCATTGATATTGGTAGCTCGGTGAGCTAGTGGAGCAGGAGTTCAGAGAGTTTCCAGACAGCAGCTAGAGGGGTTATCAGCAAGTTCAGCAAGATCAGGTGAGTTTCCCTTTATGTGAATGGGTCTAAGGCCACAATGTCGGCCCATGTAGATACGAGTAGGAAGACCCGTGGGTTAGCCCTAGGCACAGTATGCTAGTATGATATTCAGGACGAGGTCCAATGATAGTGGGCGGGTGCCCAAGGAATAGTTTAAATGTTAGTTTATACATGTTGTCTGTGTGATACATGTATGTGCTTGGTAGGGAGGTAAGTGTGGGTCTCGTATCTCACCAATGGCAGAGTGTGGATGGTGTTCCACATCTCATTAGCAGCAGAACAGGGGCGAGGCCCAAGTTAGGGAAAGAGTGAGTGTGGGTTGGGCCCGTATCTCACTTTTAGTAAGGGCGTGGACGGGGTTCCATGACTCATCAGTAGCAGGACAAGGGCGGGGCCCAAGATAGGCGAGGCCTCAGGACAGGATTTGTGAGTATATGTTAGCTTATGTGTTGTTATATGCTTATGTGCTATTATATGTTAGCGGGCGGGGCCCAGTGACAAGCGAGGCCTAAGTTAAACAGATCTGTATCCGAGCGGGGCTCGAAGCCAGGCGAGGCCTGGAGCGGTGGGGTTGTTGTAGCGGGCGAGGCCCAGAATAGCGGGCGTGGCCCAGTATGTGCAGTATGTGGTAGGTTGGGGAACTCACTAAGCTTCGTGCTTACGGTTTTCAGTTTTGGTTTTAGGTACTTCCGGTAGCGGAGGGAAGAGCTCGGGGTGATCGCATGGCACACACCATAGATTAGACAGCCTGGGAATGTTTTACTCTGATAATGAACATGTGTTTGGAAATTAATACTCTGGTTATGATATGGATTGATAATTATGTTTGGGTAAATGGCACAAAAAACACTTTTTTTACACAGAAATTTGATTTTGACACCGTGTTTTTTATTGTGTCAATTTTGACACTGTGTTTTCCAATTTGTTACAATTCTGACCACTTGACCGGTTAACCAGGTTATATTCTGACGTGGCATGATGACGTGTCAGTTTTGATGACGTGGTATGCTGACATGATATGCTGACGTGTCAAAATTGATTTTTTTTTCCACAAAAAACACTAAGTTTTCACTTTTTTTCGATTTTGACACTAAGTTTAATTTTTTATTTCAATTTTGACACTATGTTTTTTTTGGTTTAAGGGATTCGGACATGCTCTCGGGTGTGTTTGAACTCAAACTGAGAAATTGGTATAAAGGTTTTCAAAATGAAAAGACAGATTGTAAAAAGAAAGTTTTGAGAAAGAAAACAGTTTTAGAAAAGCAAGAAGAATTCAGAAAGAAAAGAATTTTGATAAGAGAACAGGGTGTGGTGCATGCAATCAGCCGAGCTCAAGTAAGTACCCCAAAATACCCATACAAGTTTATGTTATGAATATCGGTTAATAGAACAGCATGCTAGATTAGGACTAAGGATCTAGCGAGGATGCCTTATGTGCCTGTTATATGTGCCTTGAGCTACATGATAGTGCTGATTAGATAGTAATAGGATAGCCTGTTTAGGTTATGCCTGAGATTATGAGTTGGTGTTGCATGCTAGTATAGATTCTTGGTATGATATTATGATTGCTTGAGTATGTTATTGTTAGATTTTTCCCCTTGTCTGAATGTTGCTTGCTTTGTGCATTGTGGGACTCCGAGTGATGGGAGTTAGTCATTAGGTGGATACGTCACGTCACATGTGATCAGGGTTGAATAATCTTAGAGTGTTGGATTTGTCCCTATTGCGTAGCTCTTGTTTGAGTCCAACCGTTGGAAGGACGAGTCTTTTACTTGAAGGATTATCTGAGCCTCGTCACATGTGATGGTATCTATGTAATGGCTAATTGGCATCACAAGGAGTCCTTCAGCAGCTGAGGACTGGTTTGGTTTGAGTCAGAGGTTTCCTTAGGGCAAGTCTAGGATGAGGTAGTGCTGGGAGCGATAGTAGTAGAAAAGGGGCCTGGTGGAGTCGACGCAGTTCTTGAGGAAAGTACGGATAGATGTGGAAGGTAGTATGGGCCCGTACTACTGAAAGTAGAGGATCCGTACTCTATTCGGGAAAGGCCGAGACAAGACCGGGAACCTGGTAGTGCATGTGTTCGGTCTCGCAGCAGTGATAAGTATTCTGTTAGTGGCTGTGTTATATTTTCAGCATGGTGATGTCGCGAGAGAGACCAGTGGGCGGATCAGGCGCCGGAGAGAGATCAGGCTCGGGTTCAGGAGCCGAGCAGCTTGAGGAGCGAATGAGGGAGTTGATATCAGTGGAGGTTATGCGTAGTATTCTAGACCAGACTCCTGTGATCTTTGGCACGGTTAAGGAGGGTATATTGGAGATTTTGGATGAGAGGCTGGGAGCCTTCCGTACCGAGATAATGGCTTTGATGGGAGCGCGTACTTTGACATTTCGAGAGTTCAAGGATTGTGGGGCGCCAGATTATCATGGGGCTAGGGACCCCATCACTAGCAGCAGATGGTTGGCTGACGTTGCCAACGCATTCGGTATGAGCCGGTGTCCTAGGGGGACAAGGTCAGACACGCTTCCTGTCTTCTGAAGGACAGAGCGAGGGATTGGTGGGAAGAGATTG